CTAAGCTAAACTAAACTAAACTAAACTAAAATAAGAAAAGTGAGATTTGAATACGGAGAAGGCTACTTAATCTAGACACTTTTCCCCTGCATGATTAGATCTTTTTATCTACCTATGGATTATTTTTCTTAAAGAGCAAGTGAACACTGAGCTCACCAAGAAATGTTTTATTCTCAACACTCATGCATTATACTCACCATAACCAATAAATATCCAGTACTCGATTAACGTTATGTTAAACCCAAGTGCAAGCAGATAAGTTGAATATACAGGTATTAACTGGAGGCTTAATGTGTACAAAAAACCCGATACCAYAACAAGAAATACTCCAACCTAAACGAAAAAGAAACTATGGGTGAGTGTGCAAGTATCGACAAACACCTATGATATGAAATATAACCAATTTAATCGAGACTGTAATCCAAAATTAATTATTGCTTTTTCTATTAAAATTAAAATAAATTGCACAGCACCACATAATTGTTCCCAAACGAAACGGCTAGTACATGGGTCTTACGATTACTGAGTTACGATATGGCTGCACATCATACCTGGTATAACATAAGGACAATGACCACGTACGTACAAACAACACGAGTGGAGTACTTGAATTCTAGGGAAAAAATAAAGAGATGAAAATAATTTTGCGCCATTACTAACACAAAAATCAAGTACAGTTCTTGGGATATAGCGCACAGTTTAAAGTGTATGTGCCAAATGGTTAGAGATCGAGAAGGGACAAGGCACCGAGTACAGGGTACAGGGAAAGATAACAGTGTCTAGGGAACAGGGGACATGGTTCATAAAATTCAGGGCATTGGACATAGGGTATAGGGCAGAGGTTACAGTGTATGGCGCACAGGGCACATGGTTCAGGGCATTGGACATAGGATACAGGGCAGAGGTTACAGTGTATGGGGCACAGGGCGGGGTACCACACTTTTTTAGCTGTCTAAGTGCCTACAATCTCCTGTTGGCTTTCTTCAAAAAGGCGCAGTGTACAGGGCACAAGTTGCAGGGTATAGGATACATGGCAAAGGTTATAAAAGCCAAAAAGGGTACAGGACTTAGGGTAGAGAGTAGGAAGTTCAGAGCAAGGGCGTACCATAGTTGGTATAGGTAATCAAATGACGACGAGTGAAATAAAAGATAAATTTCAAGCGTGCTTGGAAAAGAACTAAAAGTAATTTCCAAATTCGTAGCCAGATATCCAAACCTTGCTATGTGCCTGAGTAATCACCTAAGAAACGGGGACGTGGCGGGGTTGAGGTAACGGCAAGGCTAGTGCGTAAATAATGTGTTATCTAGTGGAAAGACGTATACTGAATAAATATCTTGATTGTTTCCTCGATAAGGTCAAAGCTCTTACCAGGCTTCCATTTGTACATCTTCGCTTTAATGTTGTTAATAGCCGACTTTTCACGACATCTAGATGTAAGAGAATAATTAGGGAGTGGCAGTAACTAGGAAGTGGGCTAAATCACTTAGCATCAAGTTTCAACGTGTAAYACAGGGCATTCACTCACATCCCTAAGACATCAAGAAATAAACAGGMTGTAGTACTTACTCTTTGGGTACGGCTTGTAGGAGTCTTTTAACGTATTTATATTTGTAAGAGGTTTTCCATAATTCCACTTCCTGTGTTTGTTTTTTTTTGAAAATAAAAAAGACAATGGGAAAGAAAAAAAAAATTAAAATTAAAATATCTTTATCACTGTATGTAGGGAATGCCGACGGAAAACGCAACAAAGGAAGACGATGATGCATTTACTGCTGTATGCAAAAGTATGCCCAATGTTTTCTCGTGTTTCTCAGATTTCAGAACTCCGACCGTTTTTTGAAATAGGTGTATAGTGAAAAATTGCGGATTCAAATCCACGCGGCTATTGCGTCGCCTCTCTCCAATGCGGCCTGGGTTCGGGTTCCTGCTGGGCTCGGTGCCTTATGTGAATAGAGTATTTTTTTTGGTTCTCTCCTGTGATTCGTGGGTTTTTCTATGAGTGCTAGCTCTTCTCCACGAGGGTTTTCCTCCCTTCATTAAAATCAGCTTCCAAATCCTAATTTGACCAGAAATTGAGGGCCACATTGAAAACACGGCTTCGTGCTTTATCTGTTACAGGCCCTCGTAAAACAAGTCGTTTGTATTACTTACATAGCTTTGCTGTTTATCAACCTTGTATCTGCGGGCGAAGTTCATCAGACTCTTAACCATGACCACAAAGTACGTACAGACGAGAACAACGAAGCATACGTAAACTGGCAGTGCAAATGCAAAGGTATCTCCTGGATATATCTAGTAAAACAGTTCAGATAGCAAAAACAAATATATAATTAAGGTGGAAAAAAGCATGAGCGATATTCAGGCTGTCCTGTCCCTTAATTAAGAGTTTTAAAATGTTTGGGCTTTCTATATACTTCTAAACTTCAATAGATCAACGGTATTTTAGCTGCGTATGCAAATTGCTCATTTCAGATCACATGACATTCCCTTGAGAATTGTTCTTTTATGATAAGCACTTTAAAATATTTACATATGACAGAATTGACTCCCACAGAGAGGCATCACATGGTCTGAAATATGCACAACAAACGCAACAAACAACGAAGCTAAAGACGTCTATTGAATTCAGTAAAATCGCGCCCAATTTAACTGAATGATATTTAGGTCATTCAATGGATGCCCTTTATCGGTATTCAAAATCTCCAAAACAAACGAAAATACTCACCATGGTGACAAAGTAGTTTGGACACTGTGCTGCATAAAATATACTCATTATTAACCTGAAATAAAAATGAATTTCCATTAATTTTGTTTATTTATGCAACCATTCCAGACGGCGCACGTCTTTTGGAGTTCGTGTTTTATTATACAACAGCTATTTCAAAAAAAAATGCATGACTTTTTAGAAAACGCGTTTAGAAATTTTACTAAATAAAATGGATAATTTATATGTAATATTCTAACATCTTCCTTATACAGCTATTTCATAAAACGTTGATGAAGGTTTTCAGTGTTACACGCTGCATGTTGTATTTTTSTTTAAGAGCTCAAAATTTGTTATATTCATGTTTAAATAATATTGCTTAGCTAATAAATGTATTCAAAAAAATTACATCAAATTTTTATGTTACTTTCCTCTTACTGAGACGATAAATTGTCAAAGTAGTATTCGGATGTAGGATAGAATATGATAACGAAACTTAAGGTGCTGACACACGGTGCAACATTGCACGCAAAATTGTAAGCAACAAATATTTGAATCGGGGTGACACACATTGCAACATATTCACGCAACAACGCTTGTGTCAGCCTGCTATGTTAAGATATTTGKTCAGCAGTTATAAATTTGGTGCAAGCTGATTGGCTGGAAATTTCAAAATGTTGAAGTTAATGTTGCAGCCATGTTCACATGATRAAATTTGTTGCGCGCAATGTTGCAAGAGTAGAGCGCGATTCAACTTCAGATTTGTTGCATGCAACGTTGCGTGCAACAAGTTTGGGGTAGACACACGCTGCAACTGTCCTGTTACGTACAATGTTGCATACAATGTTGCACCGTGTGTCAGAACCTTTATGGCAAGTCGTGACAACAGTYATAATAAACTCACCATAAGCTGCTGTACAAGAACCCAATGATTCCTCCTAACACTACATATTYCGTCGACAAACAAGCAAACAGAGGATAGTATGCAATACCAATGATGATCATGGCTAACATCTTCCAGAATACTGTAGGTATAGATAAACAATAACTACAATCCGAGCCAAAACTAGTTGAATTGAAACTTGTAACCAACTTCCCGTTCCCATCCAAACACAAAACAAACTATATCACTTTTCCCCGTCCCCCTTCACAATATCGAGATGATCAGCTCTGATTTGAGTGAGGGGTGTACCTTGTATAGAAACAACATTGAACTGAAGGGGAGGGGGTTGATAAGAGTAAGTGGGGATCCATTTATTGAAAGGTATGAAAATGTACATTTGAACTGAATGCGCGGATTGTAGGTAGATAATATCTTTGAGCAAATGAATTGTTAACATCGTTGTTGAGTATGGGTCATCCGAGTTAAACGAGGCTAAATTTTCCAGTTGATCTTTCGATGATCTTTCGCTAGTGTAACCTTTAAAGAGAACGGCTTTTAGTTCCTGCAGTCATGCTCCAAAAGACCTAATGTTTTCCCATTACAGTCAACGTATCATTCTCTTAAGAATAAAAAGTTATATTCATATTCATTGAGTTATATTCATATTCATGTGCCTTCGCATGTGCGACTGTTTAATAAATAAAAAAATACTCTAGGGGATGACGTGCATGTGGTTTGAAATGGAAAAACTACAATGTATGATGCGGCCGAGATGAGCGCAACAATTACTGGAAATGTTACTTCTATCATCCATGCTTCTTGGAATAGCTTTTACCTGCAAGCCAACCTGGATTCGTCGGATCTTGCTCAACTTTAAGAATATCTTCACTAAAAATTTCTTCGTAATCAGATATGAGCAAAATACTCAAGCACTTGGTTACAGTGGCCCCAAATGCACAGGCGTACGCCAAGCGGTTCTCAAAACCATCTACGAGGTTCAGTGGTCTGTCAAAGGAACAAATATGTAGTTATCAAGATTATGACACTTTTGATCTATCGTTGCTTGAACTCAAAGAAAAAAAAAACATGCGAAAAAATAACAATAAACAAGAGCTGCATGAAATATGGCGCCGAATCCAAGTGGAAAATGCGAACGTAAATAGATAGTAAGGGTTTGGGAGTTATAACATTAATATATGTGGAATGATTCCAAAAAAGGCGTGGAATGTAAAAACATTAGAATCGAAGTATAAGGGTCTGATTTGAAAAATTCATTGAGTAATTCCGCATTAAGTTGCTAAATGGGAATTACTTTTTTTCTTATGCTCAGAAAATGCTAATCTACCAGTACCTCAGCATCTGCAAACATTTCCTTATGGAAAGATGTAAGGGGTGGTACTTGCAGCCAGTGAAGTGAGTAGGTAAATACCACTCAAGGCCTGGGTTTTAGTCTTTCCAAAAACACCAATCAAAATATAATAATTATCAGGCAATTTAAGATTTGTTAGACTAAAACACCCAGACGTCTTGGTTCAGGGTTAGCCTCGAATGAGTTCTTGATATTCACACTCAAATCCCAACGGTAAAGTAAAGAATGTACAACTTTAACAATACAGTCAAACACTTTGAAATCCACGGACCTTCATGAATACACATGAATATTCTTTACAAAATGTAGGCTAGCCCTGAGCAACAGGGCCGGGTTGTTCAAAGCCGGGTTAACGCTAATCATAGTCCAGGATTAACTCTATAGGTCTTATTAACAGTTAACCCAGGATTAGCACTAATCGGGCTTTGAACAACTGGGCCAAGAGAACTCGAAACTGATATGTGATATGCTCTTCAAAAGGCAGTTTTTTTGCTCATTAGATTAAATTTCAAACGTCGCCCCAGTCACTTGATCGTTTTTGGAATTGCTAATATGGATCTTTTGGATTCGTGCGCCTCATGATTACCATGATCACATATAAAATCAATTCAATTTGTTCAAACATACAGCTGACACTTACATGCAAAGCCCTGGTCTTTCCCACAAGATGCCGCATCGTTTCTTTGGACTTTGACGTTTCGCCAGTAAAGACAATAACAAGATGATCAAGAACTTTTGATTTAAAAAAAATATTACATTGTTAAGTCTCCTTTCAAAATCTCCCATGGTAGGTTTTTCAGAACCGCGAATAACCTTGACAAATTGGTTGCTAGGTTTTGAA